AATATTTACATTTGACTGTGAAAAAAAATACTCCTCCATCCTAAATATAAAACCCATTTTATAGTGTAAACTGTATTTAGTACTGAAACAGTAATATTTAAATAAAGAATGAATTTATTGAATTCTCATCACCAAGTAAATAAGACCACACAAGACTTGACTTAGTGTCTTATAAATTTATGTCAAATATTAATTCTAGCAACAATAAAATACAACGGCATTGAAAATATTTATCAGTTTTTCTCAACGACCTAGTGGGAGTCTCCTTGTGAAGTTATTACAAATGGAATTGGGCGTGTGATTACTGGAATTGAAGCGGAATTATTCCTATTTCTTTCGGTAGTAGGGTTACTTGCAACGATATCCATAAATGTGCAACAATCCTTTAACACTCCTAACACGAACAATCCAACAAAATCTGCAAAGTAACAAAACATTAAAAAAGAGTTGGTAAGTCCGTAAGTCAGCAATCAACTACGGCAAAATATATGCCAATCATCATTCGGCATTAATCAGTGTTCACGATATCACCAGAATGCCATATATATATATATATATATATATATATATATATCATTAATACAATGAAGAATTGCTATGAGATTTTAAGAAAAAAAATAATTACCAAAAAATCCTAATATCAAGTAATATGAAAATTGTTATCACCTATCTTGAAACTTATCATTATAAGACCCTTTTTGTTATTAAGACTTTTTAATAATTATATTTTTTTAAGGCTTTATAGCAAATCCATCTTTGATTAAAGCAAATAGCATCATTTTTTCATTAAAAGAGTGGTGTGGTTTCAGCAATTGGGAGGGGGAAAATTCATTATAGAAAAACACAATAAAATATCCTAAAAATTGCTAAATGATAAATCAACAGGAGTAAATTTTAAAATCTCAAATCAGACTAATTGTACTATTTAAAAATTTTTAAATCTTCAAAGCCCTGATGACCCGTTGCCAGAGCTCCAATGACTAGTCTTATATAAGTATTAACTACTCTTGTATAGCTATTAACTACTCTTATTTTTGAAAATCTGATGACTATTCTTATTTAGTTATTAACTACTCTATTATCGCGATTGACTATTTTTGTTTTTAAAATTTAATTATTATTCTTATTTAGTTATTGACTATTCCAGTTTCACTATTAATTACTTTTATTTCAAAATTTTTTGAAATGTACTCCTCTGGTTCTTAATATAAGACCTATTTAACTAATTTGATTAGATTAGGAAAGTTAGGTAAGTTAGTTAATTATAAGAAATATGACGTTTTTCCTAAAACACCATAATCATTTTCCTTAATATGCTCCCTCTCTCTTCTATATGATTATGGTTAAAGGAGTATCTATAGAAATAATTTAGAAAAAATTGATAAATATGAGAAATGGGTCTTATATTTAGAAACAAAATTAACTCAACAATTAAGTCTTATATTAAGGACCGAAGGAGTATTAGGTATTGTTAGAGATCTAATAACTACTTGTGTTTAATTATTTACTACTCTTATATAGTTAATAGCTACACAAGAATAGTCATTGGACTTCTGAAAATAAAAGTAGTCACTAGTGTAATTAATAACTAAATAAAAGTAGTTATTGGGTGTACAAGATCAATGTTATTGTTTCACAACATTGAAAAATTTCAAAATGATATAAAAAGTCTAGTTTAGATTTTTTTTTTAGGTATTTTTGTATCCCCCAACTCACTCCTTCCCCATGTTGGTTGATTATCCGGACCCCTCAAGTGTCTAAGTCACTAAAATTACCATTCCATGATGTTGTGTCTCTGTGTGCGTACCAAGTATTATTTTACAAACTAACTGAAAAAAACACCGCCAAATTAAACATGAATTTCTAAAGTTGGGCGTCATGACTTATTCATTAATTTTTAATTAAGTTAGGCATGGGTTTGAACTTTGATGTTCAACTTGAAAGAAAAAGAAGGGGGCAATGGATAGATATCTCTCGACTTCTTGTTCTTTTTCTCATGACCTGTCTTTATTCTTCTTTTTAAATTTTAATTTGTGTTAACTCAGACTACATTGAAATATTTTCGAATTTAATATTTCATAAAATATTATTAGAAACAATAAAATTTGAACATCACAAAATTATTATTAGAAAACTTGTTGATGTATCTAATAAAGACAAAATTAGAAAATGTGAGGCTAATCCGTAGACAGTTGTCAACAACATATATTCTCTCTTGAGCTTGTTTAGAGTTCTGTTTAGAACGGATTTTTAAATAAATTTATATAAGTCGAGACAAAATTCTCTCACATATTTATTTCGTATTCCACAGATCACATTTAAAAACCTATTTATAATTCAATATAAACAACTTGGAAATTCGGAGGCTGCGGCCTGTTTTGAACTATGAGGGAATGCACGTGAGCATCACGTGAGGGGGTCACATCACCGTTTGACGCATGAACTGTTTGGACACGTGGATAACACCACTTCGAAATCAAAAGCAAGCAAATGCCCCGGCACGAGAATAGTACACGCCTATAAGCAAACAAGCCCTCGACCCCTTCAGTAGTAACAGTGACACTTCCTCAACACGCGGCGGCGCGACCTGCTTGCCCCTCATGTGTCCCCACCCCCATTTTTATACCATGAAACCATACTATTAAAATTTCTATTCTTTTTTTTACATAAATTTAGTAATTTTAATTTAACGGTGATTTTGCTTTGTATATTTTATGTTTAGTACAAATAAAAAGTTAAAAAATTTTTTTTGAAGAAAAACCAAAGCAATAAAATCCCAATATTCAATCTAATTATATATACAAACCAGAAAATCACATCATGCAGATATGAATTATATTTAAACTTAAAAGCAATACCCGTCTTAAAGCATGAATTTGTGTAAAAAATGACACTTTTCTTAAAGAAATACCAAAAAAAAAATAGTAACTCTACCATGCCCAGTGATTTTACTTTTATATAGTGCATTACTAGTTTAAATTGAAACATTTTTTTATTTTTTAATTAGGTATTCACTTTGTTCAAAGTAAGAATAAAACATAACTGTAATATCTATTTACAAGATTAAAAGTATTAACTTATCATCATATCCACACAATCCATTCGTACAAAAGCAAAATATATATATATAATAAAAAAATATCATTGATCGTCATTTAAATTGTGGTTAATTTTTCTTCTGATTCAAAATCATGGTGCAGTATATATTCTCATGTTTCCGTCATAAAATAAATAAAATAATTAAAAATGAATTTTTATCTAAGAATAAAATCTTAATGAAAATATCTAGTTCGTCCTTTTAAACTATATCAGATTTTAAATATGATCAAATAAGATGAATTAAAATGGTATTTTGTAAATATATAATCGTTTTAAATATATTAACTATTATGTTATTTTTCAGTGCCTTGGAATAGATTCGCATTGTATGAAATAGATAGAAGATACATTAACTAATTCATCAGAAAAAAGAAGAAGAAGATCCATCAACTATAAAATATTTTCATAGTTATTTCTTTTTCCTGACCATTTTTATGATTGCTGGCTTTTGATAAATGGTCCCAAGGCGATTCTTTTTCAAATGCTTTTATTTATAATACGCATCAATAATTCTGGAGAGGAAGAGAACAAGTAGGGAGAAGGATTGAGGGTAATTTGGAAATCCAATTCAAATTATTGAAAAATTTAAAAGGTTGCTTTATTTTGATAAAACTACTCAATTTGTGCGAGTATAAGATAAGTATATAAAATTTTTTTTATCTAGATCTGTGTAAAATATATTTATGAGTACTTATATAAACGATGTTAAACAATACTAAGAGGTTGAAATGTCTTCTCATAAGAATAAAAAAAAGTAATTTAATTAGTAAATCATTGGTTGAGATGATAAATAGTTTTATTCTCTTAAGAAAAAGAATATAAGGTTGAATCTTTGAAAATGTATTTTTTAGGAGAATTTTAACTTTAATGTCCTGGCTCGATAAAAATAAATTTCAAGTTTAAAGTAACTTGAAGATATTTTAAGACCATGACTTTCAAAAGAAAGAGAAAAAGTAATTTATGTGTAGCGATATAATCAAGACACTGTGTATAGCTAAGGAAGAGGAGTTTTTCCAATAAAAAAGGAGAAGAAATTTCGAGTATTTAAACTTACATGTTTAGGAATTTTTTTAAAAATAAATTGAAAATATTAAATATAAAATCTAGCACTTTAAATTTTTTTGGCCTAATTCTTTTTTTTTTTGGGGCTTTTTCTAGGAGGCCACATTCAATCAAATCTGTTTAAAAGAAACAAAAATAGCAAGAGATAGTAAATTAGTGATAGAATAAGATATTGAAAAGCAATATCTGAAATATGATTGTTTAAGCATCTAAAATTTTTATTCATTTAAGTTATAAAATTTGGATAAGATGCAATTGAATAAAAAATCTTATATTAATCATAATAACGTGGGACTTAATCATACCTTGTTTGACTTAACAAATATTACCATATTTAAAAATTTTAAAAAAATTAATTTCCTTACCAAAAACCATCCGAACCAGGAAAATCCCAAAATCCGTTTCAATTATCACAAGTTAATGAACTGACAGAGTCCTCTCTCCCTCCTTCTCTTTTTGTCTCTCTCTCTCTCTCTCTCTCTCTCTCTCTCAAAGCAAACAGATAAAAACAGAGCGTTGCAGAATTTCCTCTCGCTCTTCTTGTTCCTTCTGCCTCCTTCAGCAGCTTCCGCTCATCTTTACTTCGCAAAGCTTCCATCTTTAATTTCAGTGAGAGCATTTAAAGTCCTCTCTCTCAATCCTTAGCGACATTTATTTTCTCCCAAATCTCCAGTAGGCGCACTTTGTCTCTTCGTTGTAATTATTATTGATTGCTAATATGCCTCCTAACTTCTTTCTCGATTTCGCCATTTTTCTTCTGAAATTTCAATCTCTCTGCTCTCTCCTCCTTGTCATCCTCTCTGATCGAACTAATCGTCGCCCCTTTCTTCGACTTTCGAGGCCACCTTACCAGGAAGCTTCATCAATTTACCAAATGCAGTCCCTTGAATATATTCCTCTTTTCCGTTTCGTTTCTCTTCCGTGAATTTTCTGTTCTCAGGTTTCGGATTCCCTCGTCGTCTGTTCTTCGTGTTTAGGAGTCGCTCCTGCTTGTTCAGTCGAATTTCTGGAGGTTTCTGTCACTTTCTCGCGAAACTTTTCCGCTAGATCATGTCTTGCTGCTTCGGAAGCTCGCTCACCAATTTCGAACGCTTTCTTCAATGTATCACTCCGGTGGTTCCTTCGAAGAATGTTTCTCAGGTATTTACTTTTCGTCTTCTTTTTGTTTGCTTTCTCTTGATTTGGCCCCTGTTTCTCTCAATGTCGGTTTCAAGGTCTAGTTCTTTCTTGCTTCCTGGTTTTCACTTTTCACATCAACGGTGAGCGAATGTTAATAGTTTTCAAAGAATATTTCGTTCTCGTTGATAGATTTTTCGAGTTAGAAAGATCTCGTGTGTGTATATTGCGTGTGAAGAGGAAAAACGATAGAATGAAAATTCTCGTTCTGATTGTTTTTCCCGGAAAATTTCCGCGTTATCTGCGGAAATTGGGAGAAAGTGGAGAACATTAAGAGATTTTTTTTTAATCAAGAATTAAGTTGTAAATATTTTCATCTCAGATATTTCGGTAAATATACATGTTTTAATATTTGAATTATTAATGAATTTCGTTTTCTTATAAAAATCAATGTTATCTTTGTCCTTTTCCGCTTTGGGTCTTTTATGAGTACTTTGGTCAACTCTTCTGGGTTAAGAGTATTCCAGATTTCCATGCTTCAACACGAAAATGAGAGAAAATTCAATTACTAAAAAATTATTTAAACAGAAACCAAATTATGATTTTAAAAATAATTTTATGGTATAAAAAATTTATCTCGATTTATAAAAAAGTGTTTTTAAAAAATATTTCTCCTAATTTTCAAACACCCTGAATCAAAAGTTACCATCTGAAAATATTTGCAATTGTCAAATTTTGTCCTGTTTCATAACCCAGATGTAGAATATTCGTTTCGTTATACGAGCCTTGAACAGTCCTCTCCAATGAAAATGGTTAATCAATTAAGAAATTGGATTATTAAAATCTGGTGAAAATAAATTACTTTTGCACTTTTCAAACTCTTCTAGTTGTCCTTCTGTGGGGTCCTAACTCCTAATAAAAAAAACTTCTTTACTTTTATGGAGTCTGAGTCACACGCTTTCTTAAAAGGAGAGAGAAAACTCTGTTTTGTGTAATTGCGGCATTTGGAAGGGAAATCTGCGGGTAAAAGTTTGACATTGTCATTCTGCGGTGGAAAAGTGTTTTCTTGCTTTGGCCTCTGAGAAATGGTAAAAGCATAATAACAGAAAGATAATCACAAAATTGATTCTAGCCCGATGAGTGCCACGTGTCACTTGTAGCGCCCCACTTACTCAACTCTCAAAATTGCTTTAGATGTATTTCATCTAATATTAGTAATCTTTCCCCAGAAATCCTGCTCCTTTTTATTTTTGGGTTTATCTGATATGAGCCAGCTCATTGCAACTTACAATTCGGGCGTACTTTTGGTTATTATTCTAAATATGTGTATTTTCTTGGATGGGTGGGATTGCAATAAAAATGTGTTTAATTTCCTGTGATTCTGATATAAGGCAGACATGGTCAATGACTTATTTGACTTCTTTTTGGTACTTTTTTTTTTTTTAAAAAAAATTGAATGTACATTGCAGAGCTGCATTAGTGATCTGAATACCCGGGGGCAACCTCTTGGCAAGGACACAGTTGAGTACTTCACATTGAAAGATCTGTGGGACTGTTACAAGGAGTGGAGTGCATTTGGTGCTGGAACAAATGTGATGTTGGAAAGTGGTGAATCTGTGATGCAATTTTTTGTTCCTTATTTATCATCCATCCATATCTACAGCGACAAACCTGTTGCGCCTTCTAGGTACATTTTACTATGCGACAACCACAATGATTATATACTAAATGCAACAGATACGACCATTATTAAAAAGTCAACACTTAAGAGAAAATGTGATATTGTGTTTCGTATACACTGAACGCGACAAATGCACCTTAAATTACATAGCAATGATTATTATGTACTAAATGCGACAAATACAGCGCTTCATGAAATGCTTATATTTGAAAAGTGATATTGTGTTTTATATACACTGAACGCGACAAAACATGTTAAATTACATTTAATCGTGTCATGTATCCATGTTAATACATGTACTTGTCAGGGTCCTATATCAATGTCAGTACATGTATTTTTCCTATACCTATGTTAGTACATGTATTTCCTAATCTAATGAGACAACTTTCCCTCTTTTGTAGGAACAGGAGAGAAGAGGGTGATGGAGTTGAACTCGAAAGCGACACGTGGAGTGATGACAGTGGAAGTGACAATTCATCTCCATCATTAAGTAACAACTCGAGCAAATCATGGGATGCTGTGTCTGAGGACTCAAATTGTGACCAAGACGGTTCATGGTCGAGAAAGAATAGGCCTGGCTACCTCTATTTACAGTACACAGAGGTGTCTTCGCCTTATCAGAGGGTTCCACTTGTGCAGAAGGTTGTAATGTTCACCTCTTTTTAAGTGGTAATAAAATTAATACACACAGATATAGTGTGTCAGGCTCACACAATGCTGCATCACTGATTAGTAAGGACAACTATATATTTTGTGATTTCAGATAGATGAGTTAGCAAGAACCCATCCAGCATTAATGACCCTGAGAAGTATTGATCTTTCGCCGGCAAGTTGGATGGCAGTTGCTTGGTGAGTATATAATTAACTAGTTGTTTTGTGTTAAGCTCAATTGTTGTTTTTCTTTTGGAAGTAAACTGATGAGTTGGAGGAGGTAAACCTTGCTCATATATTCCTTTAGTAGATGTAGCTCAATCTAAAAGTTTCAAGTACTCGGTTAGCATTGTGATGACCATTTGATTCAACTTACAAAAGATAGGTAACTCTCTATACAAGTTAGAGAAAGAGACTTGATCCAAAATAAACGTTTAAAGGTCTGATCAGGATGGTTTTGCTTAACTTTTGATTTTTTCCCAAGTGATTTAATAGTTTCAAAATATATATAGTATAATTGAGATTTTATATCACTATAAAGTATGAAAAAAAAAATCATTCAAAAAACATATCTATGTCTATATACATTATTAAATTGTATAAGAAGCCAGTTTGTTCTCGAATATCATGTTATTGTCGGTGTTTTAAAAAAACCATTAGAGTACACAGGACCAAGTCATTGGTTGTGATAGGTGAAAATTGATTTTGACTTGGATTTTATTATGTGACGGTCAATTTAATTTATTTTTAGTCATTCGATTATTTAAGTTGTGATTTTGAACACATCTAATTTTGTTTGGTTGATTTATCATTCTCGAAGTTTCTATTTGTTACCTGATCTAATCAATTTTTTCGTCACCTCTTTCTATTTGTTGTCTGGTGCAATTGGTCTGTACTTATATATAAATTTGTGCTGACTCTTCAACTGCTAGGTACCCTATATATTCCATACCAAGTGTGAAGAACGAAAAGGACTTGGAAACATGCTTCCTTACATACCATACATTGTCTTCGTCTTTCCAAGGTACCTAAAAGTTGTTAAATGTCTCAATCCAACTTACAATTTTTACTCTTAATTGCAATACCTAATGTATTGAGCTGCGCATTTTGAAATTCTTCTAATTAGATAACATGGAGGAATACCAAGACATTGAGTTAGGGAAATGCATGTGTTGTTGTTGTGGTGGTGGCGCACAGAAGAAGGAGCCGGTAGGAGAGAAATTGACGGGTGGCGGTGGCGGGTGGATGTCGGTGCCGCCATTCGGAGTGGCAACATACAAAATGCAGGGGGACATATGGGTGAATCCTGAGTCCTGGGATTCTGAGAGGCTAACCTTTCTTTATGGTGCCGCTGATTCATGGCTGAAGCAACTCAATCTTTATCACCATGACTTCAACTTTTTTACCTTTCACTCCGCCCTGTAAATTTCTGAAACAGATTAAAAAATTGAGAGGTTATAGTTATGTCAAAGGAGATATTTGGGGCTGTCCCTGCGGTCTAGGAGAAGAAAGATAGAGCCAAAAGCAGAGTCACATGAGTGCATCTCACCTAACTTAATCTCTGGCCTCTGTTTTTTTTTTTTAACCTTTTTTTCTTTTTTAGTTTAGATTATTTCAAATAATTTAGGGGATCAAATGATAGCAAGGAAGAGGTAGGAGGGGGGTCGTATTCCATTTTATCTGTTCAGTCCCTTAAATTATTTGAAATAGATCCCAATCATTTTCTCATTTTTTGACTTTACAGGGTTGCAAGAGGTCAGTGTTGGTTAAAAAAAAAAAAGTGTATAACTGTGAACATTGAATCATGAAAAAGAAATATGTTTTTCTTTTAGTTGCTGTTTTTTTTTTGGGGAAAGAAAGGATTATTTTGGAGGTGATTTCACCATTTAATTTTTTTATTTAGTTCCCCTGTTATCACGGGGGTGTTTGTTTATGTTTTTTCCTCCTGTCTCCTGTTAGATATACGTCATTTGAACCTTGCATTTTTGTTATTTTTTAAATCTGAAGACAATTATTAAATTAATACCAAGGTACAGTGCTTGCTTATCAATTTAGATCCCGCTTTTGTGGGATTTTATTAGTATATCTATATATATAAACATGAAAGTTTATATTAATAATGAGCCATTACAAAGTTTGTGTGAAATATAAATCCTAAAATAGCATTCCGGAATGCAGATGGTGATCCTTATATTTAGAAAAGCCGAAAACAGAGGCCTCATGACCCTACCATTATTTGAAGTTGGAACCAATGGACGCATCTTGAAGGACTTTTATATTAGCAAAAATTTTTAAAAAGGAAAACAACGTACTCTGTTAACAGTAATCACCTACTTTATTTTTCTTAATCAAAACGGGGAAAGCCTAAGACTTTTAAGTTTCAATTATAAGGTTGCTCAAGTCCAAGCTTTGGTACTAACAGAGGTTTGATTTAGAGTCTAATAAAAGAGGCTAGTCGTTCATAACGTGACGAATTAAGATTTGAATTTTTATTGGGAGAGGTATTCATATTTAGTGTGAGATAATGTTTTAAATAGAATTATCTCTAATAAGAAGATATCTATGTTTCAAAGGGAAAAAAGAAAGAAAGAAAAGAGGTCCAACCTTTGGTCTAATTTCATTCCATAATAGCTTGCACGTGAAATCTCCAGCCCATGACCCATCAGCAACCCATTACGGCAGTACCCGCCCAACTGGTTTGCTTGTTTGGGCCAGCAGTCTATAACCGTCCCACAATGAGAAAATGTTCAGATATAAATCAAACTATAGTTTTAAAAGTGATTTTACGATACACGAAGTAAATATGTAAAAAAAATTTTATCTCGATTTATATAAAAATACTTTTAAAAAAGTTGTTTTTTGCTAATTCCAAACACCCCTGATCTCTAAGCATGAAAAGTACTCTAAGTGCAAGTTATTAGATGCATTGAAAACAAAAAAGACGTTTGGCATAGTTTTAAAGGCAACTGATTTTTTCACTTAAAAGCCATTTTAAAGTTTTTAAATGTTTTTTCCCATAAAAACTTAGGGCACTTCTATCAGGATTAATCCAAACAAGTTTGTGTTCTTAAGACAAAGAACTGCGGATGCATTATGATACAGGAAAAAGTTACTCTAACATCCCATATAACATTCTAAATTATTCTGAACTCTCATGAAATTATTAAATTATGGTAAAATCCCACAGGTCTTAAAATTAGTACTATTTCTGATCGTTAATATAAGAGCTAGTTAACTAATTTTAACAGATTAAGAAAATTAGTTAAGTTAGTTATTTGTAATAAATAAGTGTTTTCTTTCTCAAAATATTTTTGTTAATCAAATACTCCTCCGGTTCTTAATATAGGACCCAATTGTTGAGTTGGTTTTGGTCCTAAATATAAGATCCATTTCTCATATTTATCAATTTTCTCTAAATTACCCCTATGGATATTGCCCCAATCATAATCAAGTAGAAGAGGAAAATAAGGTATTAAGAAAGATGATTATAGTATTTTAGAAAAAACATGTCATATTTTTTATAATTAACTAACTTAACTAACTTCCTTAATCTAATCAAATTAGTTAAATGGGTCTTATATTAAGGACCGGAGGAGTATATTGGTTAGAATTATCTTTATTATAAGGACCATCTTAGACAAAAATAAACAAATATAAGAAACAAAATATATTAAATTTTATATTTATAATCAAAATAAAAACTAAATAAATTCTTATATTAAAAATCAGGTTTTGTAGCATTGGAAGTCTATAACTCCCGCTGCTGGCAAGCTGTGGGCACTGTCGGTGGAGCTCCAACGTCATGGCAATATTTGGGCCAATGACCTCTTAAACACCAAAAGCAATATTACCATGACTTGAACAGTGTAGTAACATCCGCTGATGACTGTTTTATTAATTGCAACCAACAAATTTAGCATAAGATATTAAAAACTGATCTTACAACTTTTATCCGTCAGTTGCATAAGAAAAAGAGAAGACCCTATAACCCTATTGACAACTATTTTATTAGAATAAACAATTTCAGCATTAAAAAATTGATAGCCAATATTGTTTTTGGTAACATTGTTTATCAAGATTCAATAGGTTATAGGTTCAAATCTCGAGTCACCTCCTCAAAGTATTGAGTTTTGGTATAATAAAAAGGTGTTTGGGTGAAAACGAAATCATAATTTTAAAAGTAATTTTATGGTATACAAACTAAATATGTGAAGAAGTTTGTCTCAATTTACAAAAACAAAAATAATAATTTTTAAAAATATTTTTATAATTTTCCAAACATCTCCTAAAATTTCAGTAACAGTGAGGATTCTAACAATTAAGGGTGCTTATGAGATGGGACTGGGGTGAATAAGGACGAATAAGGACGGGCCCATTCCATTCCCGTCTGTTTGCAGAGGAATGTCTTGACCCCATCCTAACTAATTTTAATGTTGTAATGTTGGGCCTCTGAAGACAAATTTATACAAATAGGCCAATTTAGTTGGAAATAAAAAATGATTACGTGGAAAGCTTATATACAACTAGATATATATAATTATCATATGTATAATTCCTACCTCCTGTATGTGGGAAAAAAAACACTATTAGTTTTCGAGTTAATCAAAGCAATCATCCACGGGAAGCTAAAATGAAGCACCAAAGTACAAAGAAATCAGAAACAACGCTAGTTCCTTCATCATTCTACATTTTGGCCAAAATTAAAAAAAAAAGAAGCTTAATGCCATTAATCAAATTGGGAAATGTTGTGGGAAAAAGCAAAATCGATCAACGTCAGTTTTCCTGTTGTTTTCTAAAAATTTTATTGTTCATAAATTATTTACTCCATCTTATCTTATTTATAATCTTTAAATTTAAAATGAGATATGGTTTATTTTATAAGTTTTAATTTGAAATTTGACTAAACATTTAATATTTTTTTTAATTTTGTTCTTAATTATTTATTCTTTTCCTTTTATTATACCTCTTATTATATTTTCTCATATATTCTCTTTCATTATTTTTTAATTTATTATAAAAATATATTAGCAAATATATTTATTATTTTTAAAATTAACTACTTATATGTTATTTATGAATTAGTTATCTAAAATTTATAATAAACACACGAGAGAGCACGATGGACGTTTAACAACAGCTAGATTCCCCTCGATGATCTGTGGGGGAGAAAAAAGGCGAAACGGGTTTGAAAATTTTCGTTGACCGTTGAGCTAATTGGTTATGGAATGCTTTAACCGGACCAAAATAAAATGCTCCGTTTTCCAGGTCCCAATTAGCTTTACCAGAAATAAAGAAAAATCCCTCCACGCGCTTTCTTGATGATTCGTCTTCCTCTGTGGGTATTTTGTCCTTTGCAGTGAACCAAGTGATGGGCACTATGAGAACCTGATTCGAATTCGGAAATTTCCTTTTCTTGTCTTCTTTTATCCCTCTCGCTCTCGCTCACTGCCACACCAGTATCACTCTAGTTTGTGTTACTGTCTCGGTTATCTCATTGGCGGCGAAGAGCTTGTGGGATTCGAGTTCTTGGGTGTGAAATGGGTTTAGTTTTAGGTTTGATTCTATTTGGATTTGTTCTTGGTGTGGTGGCCGTCCTTGCTGCGGAAGCTCTTGGAGCGTTCTTGATCATTAAAAGGTTGAGCATCAAGGCTAAACAAGACGAAGCCGTGATAATATCGAAATCGAAATCCCACGAGGGTACTGTGGAGCTTGATACCCAGCAATCGTTAACTTTTGCAGAGAATAAGCAGGTAGTTCTTTTTGATAGTGGGCTTTGCTAAGATTTTTGTTGTCGTGTGGTTGTCCGTAAATGAATGATCAGAGGTTAGAAGAAAAAATAAAAATAGAATCGGGTTTGTGTAGATTCTTGAGCCAATTAGGGTCAGCTTAATTGCTAAGACGGCGAATTTAAATGAGAGATGATGTGTTTAGGTTTTTACTCTACTATTATTTTTTGTTGGTTTGCTTCTTTAGCTGATTTGGGACCAAATAAGCAATTCTTTAGCGTAGTTTTATCTGGACTTTACCATCATCATCTCAAGGCCGGCGATGACATAATGCATCAAGTTCCGTGAAACTGCCTTGACATTTTGCTTTTTATGTTTCTTTCGTCAGGTGAAGTTTTGTATTTAGCAGTAATTAAAAAATAGAAAAAGAGTTCAGTGATAGAACGTTTTGCACCAGAGAAGATAGAATAAAATGATATAGTGGCGACAGAGGGAAAAAGTAGCTGCCTACAATGTAATAAGTAATAACACCGATCACATAGTTACTCGTAGCTACCTTGTTGACCGCTAGCTGACTTCATTAACTGCTCTGACAATCCGCTGATTTCCATGTAACAATTATCATCCCCCTTCAAAAGCAATCGTAGACTCCCAAGAGTTTGTAACAGGTGCTGTAGTGGGAAAACGGGAAACTGACTC